AATGTTTAACATGTATACTTCATGGATAACATTTTTCAGAATCATTACTTCAGATACACAAGAGCTGAACCCACTGAAGCTAGTTGAAGTTCCTTTCTTTTTCCTACCTCTACAGAAGTAATATTCTATGTATTTAAGGAGAAATGAATGACCAAGTCAATAGCAGTTGTCTTGTGTAAAAATGAAGCATATACTCAAGTTTGTAAAAACTGTACAGCACAAGTGGGACTTATAGTTCTGCCTGCAGATTAAGTGTCTGTGTTTCTTAAAACAACTAAGCTTCAAATATTTATGCTTTAATGGTTTACTAGATGGGTTTAGGAAAACACAGCAGAGGTCCAGGAGGTCCTATAAATGAAAGATTGGTGTCTGTATCCTGCCACTCCTGGTTCCTTCCTGCCACTAGTGAAATTTAGCTCCATTTATTATTATTCCTGTTTTTTGAGAAGATCCACTGTTGTCATAAGAGATCCTAGCAGCAGGTGATGCTGGAGTTGGAACAACGTTGGCAGTCTGTCTCTTGCCTACACCCTTTGGAATACACTTTCTTGATGAGTCAGGATTGCAGCTTAGAATTCCCATAGTCTGCTGTAATAAGGCAGGTGAAACCTGAGTAACCAGACATGTAACTCACTCTCAGCTCTCAGATCATCTCACACTAATGATGATACACATAAAGAATGTGCATCTTGTATTGTTATAAAACATTAAGTTTGTGCTAATTTTGTAAACAAAAAAGTTTTAGCTTTGCTGAGGAATCCTGCTTATTGGAAAAATTATATTGCATGCTAGAGTTAGTTTGCTATTCATAAACTGATTTCAGTAGCTCATCATTAGGAAGAATACATATACACTAGTTTTTATCAAGAACAATTAGTGGTCTCACCATTGAGAGATTAAGAACTGGTGGTTTAAATTTCTGAACCTTAAAAAAAATTTGTATTATAATTCTATTTTGAACATCTGTGGTGCTACTTAATAGTGATTACACTGAAAAATCAGTGTCAGACTGAGCACCCAACTGTACAGTTGTCAGAGCAATGCTGGGAGGGTAAATTAAAGTATTACTCAAACACTGCACTGAAGACAGCCATATAAATCTTCCTAAAAATACAGCAATATTGTTTTCAGAGCAAGCCTGGACAGTGTGCAGTAATAAAATATGAAAATATCCACTGAACAGTAGACAATATGTAAAAATAATTTGCTTTCCCTAAGCATTTATCCAACAGACTGATGAAAGAGAGGCCTGCAGAAATAAACCAGTGTGTGACAGAGTAATTAAAGACTGTATCATAGTACAAACATACTAGGGACATAAATAAGGGTTAAACAGCTGGCCTTAATTCTGCTGCATAATCATTTAGGAATGAGATTTTGAACTCAACATATTTTTAACATATTGAAATGTATATTCTAAAATGCTACAAACACACTGCAGAGTGTGTACAGCTGTAATGACTAATAACATATGAAATTTTTAAAGCATAACACAGATCTCTTTCTATGTCAAAGCAGGATCAATTCTATCCATGTCACTTCTGGCAGATATTTGTCTAACAGTTTCTTAAAGGTGTTCAGTGATGGGCATTCCTCCCCAGGCAATTTAATCTAACATTTCCTTCACTATCTTCACTGTTCAAAAATTCTTCCTAATATATAACTCGAATCATCTTTCATGCAATTTGAACTCCTTATTTCTTTTTCTATCCATCACAAACATGGACAGCAGCTTGTTCCCTGCCTCTTTGCAGCAGTTTTCCATGTATCTGGAGACTGTTATCTTGTCACACTCGTCTTTCCCTCCTTAGGCTGAGCAATCCAGTTTGTTAACTATGTTCTCCTAGGTCATGTTCTATAAACATCTGAAACTTCTTTTTATAATCCTCTGACAAGCTATAATTGGTCTCCATTTTTATGAAGTATGGTACATAAAGCTGAATTTAATATTCTAGTTATAGTACCACAAGTAGAAGAGTACTGCTCTAGCCAAGAACAAAGGGTTACTTCACATGAAACATTTAAATAAAGCATGTCCATAAGAAGTTAAATATCATACACTAATTTTTAATCTGGCGCCTAGGTTTGGGTAGGTTAAATATGGAAGATTTTTTTTTTCTGAATCTATGTTTGCTTAATTGCCATATTACATAGTTATAGAGTGAAACACATCACCAGTGATATATTATTCACTTCAGCCACTTCCTTTAGGTTGTTCAAGAATGGCAGCTACAGTGAATAGACTTATAGTTGTGCTAAAAAGCTTTTGGCTATTGAGCCATGTTAGCTGTCATATCAAGTGAATCCTTTCAATCAACATAATAAAATATGTTAGCAAAATCCTGTATGATTAATTCATTGTAATCTATCAAACCTGAAGGAACTATTAGGGTGGAAAAGTAATGGATTCTTTTTATTATTGTTACCAGAGTCACAGCTGCTTAAAGAAGAGTGAAGAAACAACAGGGTAGGTTGCATGCTGCACTAAACCAATGTACAGTATTTGAAGATTTTTCCATCAGGGGTAACTACAGGTTGACTCAGGTAAGAAGGAATTTCATTTTAGGAAAATAGAGAAAGTATCTATTTGTAAAAATAAATCTGTGCACAGAATTTCAGGCAAATAAAGAACATATAGTTTCTGAAGCAAAGGATCTCTATATATGTTACAGTACATTGGATAGAACCATCACTGTGTACTGAAAAATTGCATTAATCCTTCAATAAATATTTACTTTACTATTTAATACAGATTGAATAACCCTTAGAAATTACCACACTGTGACTGAAACAAAATTCCTAAGAAAGTAGCGAGTCCCTTTTTGCAGAAAGATTTTTAGTAAGCTTTTGTGATATCTTTGTTTTTTCAGGGTACCTGGGACAAGTACTGGACAGCACAGAATCACAGCAGCTCAGGATCACCAAACTAGAAAATAGGCACCATGTTTCTTTACTTTTCCCAAATAATATTTCTGTGACATCAGAGTAGCTGCATTTCCACACTGTCCTGCTTATTCTTGCTCAGATTCTGAACTGGAGCATCCCTAGACTGCCTTTCTTTGGCTGCACTGCTCCCAAGGTCAGAGTGCAGCACACCAGTGATCATTCTCACTCAGCTGCTTTGGCTGTTGCCTGTGTTGAGCTGAGGATGCCACAATTCCAATCGTGCTGTTAGCTTTTTAGGCCAGAGGCTTTCCACAATTAATGCCAGCTGGTGGCTGGGTTGCATCCAATGCAGGCTATGTCTCACATCCACCATCTGCACTTGGTGTGCTGACTGTGGGTGCCAAACATCAGGGTCCCTCCAGTCTGTTCTGCTGGTGTGGACACAGCTCCTGCCAGTGCTGCCATTCCAAGGCAGACAGGAGTTATCCAGGAGAGAGAGCTGTGTCTTCAGCCCCATGCTCACACATGTCTGTGCCAAACCTTCTACAAGCTTTAGTAAATGTGGCTCTTACTACTCTGTCATAAAATGTTTTGCACATCCAACCTGTACAGGGAAGAGGGACCAATAAGTCTCAGATGACAAGCTTGGATGGGAGATAATGTGATTCACTGTCATTAATGATGGAGACAGCTTCACCTGCTTTCCTGCAGCACTGCTGCATCTCTACTCCACTATTTGTCCTTAGGAATTTTTTACACAGTTCAAGCCTATGATACGAAGGTACACTGATAAAGTTCTTGATAAATAATTCATGTGCTCATGTATTCTTTGCACATACCTGCAGTCAAGGGCTTTCATTCCTCCAATAACACAATAAACTGAAAGACAACCACTTGATATCATCTGTAATCAGCTTATTTTTTAAAAAAATTAGGCAGGAAGGAAGGAACAATCCAGAGATATTAACATGTACTGAACGTAACATATGGTTTTACTACTATTTTACTAGTTTTGTGTTTATTTCTTATTAAATTTATAATCTCTAAAATATGGTAAATGGATGAATTTGCATTAAAATACTGATTTCTATCAGGAGTACAATTTTTCATATAAATGCCTACTTTGTTTCCATTTGCTGAGATTTGAGTTGTATCACTGAGTGGTCTTGGAGCTTATAAGCTGGATGCCTTTCAAATGAAAAATAAACCAGAAGCAAAGTTCCAGGAGCAAACCCAATGCACTCTGGCTGCTAATAGGCATACAGTTCATTGGAACTGCCAAGAATTACTAGGAAATATCTCCCCTCCCCAAATGTAGACATCTGCACCATCTGTTTTGTTCTATAGATCCACTATCATGCTTGAGTATATCTGATGTAGATGGAGCCATTATTAATCATTCAGCCCATTAATAGAAATCAGAGTTTTCTTAACTTAGACTGCACAGTTTATACTGTGTGTATGGATTTCAGACAGGTTCACCATGGTAAGACTGCACAGAATTAGTAGAATTCTTCTTTACCATATGACCAAGGTGCATGGACTAGTAATTGGTTTAATTATAAAATCTAGAGTGATTTTGAAAGAATTTATGCATGACTATGTCTCACTCAGTTATATTAAAATAAAATAACACAAGGATAGGATGCCAGGAAACACATTGACAAAAACGGTGCCTCTCAAATGAGTATCTACAAAAGGTGCTTAAGCAACCTATTGGAACAGAGCCTGGTTTAACTTCAGTTTATAAAACATTTTCATGGCATGCACATAAACCTAACTTCACTGTTTCCCATGGTTCTTAAATTATGTTTCGTCACAGGCATCAGTGAGTTGTGAAAATGCTATGAACTATGAGGGAAGACATCTTATGATTTATAATCCTGATCTCAGTTGCAAGACTGCTTGTTATCATTGTAACTTAAATGATGCATTACTAGTATTTATTGGTCTTACTCTTCATTACAACACAAAATCATAAACTGATAATAACAAAACAAACTGAAACATCAAGGCATAATCAAAGCATTGATGAGTTTAACAATTTCTCCAAATTTCTGTCAAATAAGGCACTTGAAAATAAATCTCTAAAATGTATAGTTTACATCAATTACCTGTAAAACTGACCCCATCAATCTTTGTGGGGTCTGTCTATTTGGGTTCAGAAGCGTGAAGAGCTTCTACACAAGAAATCCAGTTGATTTAGTCACATGCTGAGACAGTTACAAGGGCAGATCCCAGATGAGCAAAACTCTACAAGACAGGAAGCCTGAAAAATTATGCTGGATCCATTTCTGAGGAAAAGCATTTAGGAGCTGTGGAATCAATCAAGTGAAATTACACTAGGAGCTGAGGTAAATGTATGCTGTTTCCCTTTGATTACAGGTTTTCACATTCTGAAAAGTTAAAAAAAACCAACATTATTGCAATTTATCACAAATTTCAAAAAGGTTTTGAAATACTAGGTTAAACAATGTCCTTTCAGAGCTCCTAGAAACAAAAGGGATTGCAATTCCTCCTTAAACAGAAATACACAATCCTGGGAAAAGTCAGCTAGGTGACTGGTCTGTGATCTTTAGCTGAACATGCAGAAACGTTAACACTGCCCTTTCTGCTTCTGCAGACCTTCAAATACAAGAGTTTTGCCCCTTTTGACCCAAAAGAAGGAAGTGGTATGCAGAGTGCCAGAAGCTCAGTAAGGGACTTTGTTGAGACCTAGTCAATTACAGGCTTTAAATGTCAAAAACAATATTTTTAAGCCAAGCTACAAAACCAGTCAGTGAAAAGATTGGGTAAAATTACTAATGTCCAGTTGTGCAGGGTAAATAAGCTAAGGTTCTTTAAAGGAACCTTTCATTCTACCTTTTTGATGTTAAAAAAAAAAAAAAACCAACTAAGGCCTTTCTGCTGAAAACAGGAAAACCAGTGTGCATAGGCACACTTCATTTTAGAGCATAAGTGGTATTTTTAAAAGGTTTTTAAAAGGTTAATGTTGCTGAAAAACAAACAGGGTATTTTCAGCAATATTTTCCAAGAGAGAATCTCATCTGAAAATGCTTTCATAATGGCTATGTCTGCTAAAGGAACTCACAAGGACTTTTCAAGTGCTTTAAACTTTCTGTTACTGTCTTGCTGTCTTGCAAGCCCTACTTTTCTCTGTGAGTTCTTTCTGGATAAATCTGAGCTTCACCAAGGCAGTGGCAAAACTCATCAGTATTTCACCCTTCAAAGTTTATTGTAAGCTTTTACAAATGGAGAAAATGGGTGCTGGTGTTCAGAGAATGAAATGTGAAAACTTCTACACACCCTATGGGAAACAGAATCAAGTAATTAATCTTTTTAGTATTTTTGGCACATTTTGAAAGAGTCATTTTTCTAAACTTATTCTTCAAAACTCTTGCAAACTTCCAGTTGTGGGATGATTTCCCTTCTTTGACAGTGAGCTACAAAAATTACATGCATAACATCCAGATCAGGACACCAAGTGACACTGCAAGTACTCTTACAGCTTTGACCTTCAACTCCTCTTCCACACTGACTCACACATTACATTACCCATCAGGCAGCAAAAAGCACTTTGCTGACAAAAGCTGCTTTTCACTTACGCTCAAAGTGGTGAAAATATCCTAGGTAAAAGGACTTTTTTTTTTCCTTTCCTTTCCCTATGATGAATGCCAAAGAAAATGGAACAAAAAGGGGAACAATTTCTTTGGAAGTACCTAATTTTTGACACAGCTCTATTTTCTGCCTGATTTAAGGGGAGGCAGGAAAGTGGCAAATTCAAGAGCAAACTTGAAAACAGTCATTACATCAGTTTGCTGACCAGTTAGTTCAGCAGTGAATGACCTAATTTGCTCCCTAAGACTCTCTCCTGTTTGATATCACAAGAAAAGCTCTGTGTGTTAAATGTGCATCTCATTACATTATGCAGCACAGGCCTCCATAATGTGATGAGATATGACATGAAGTTTAAAAAAAAGTCTTCTGTGCTTCTGCTAAGACTGTATGTTGCAATATTTTAAAAGTCTGCAAACATAGGTGCCTCAGAAGTCACATTGCTGTCTTAGAAAGGCACTGACAGAAATTGTCCTCCTAATTCTGGCCTTAACTCTCCAGTTTAGTTTTTAAAACATCCCTTTTTTTAGTCCCTGGGCCAGATAAAAGGAAATGAAAACTCTTATTCAGAATTAACCATTTTTATGCCAACAATGGAACATTCTGTATCCATCCCATAACAGATTTAGCGTGGCTAGAGAACAGCTGATCTCAGATTAATAACAGCTAAAGACATGGCCCTCTACATTTCACAACCTCATTGTTCTGGCTGCATTCTGACTCTGGATATTCTGGTCTAGACTGAAGATGACTCAATTGAAATCAAAGTTACTTAGCCTGGGCAAAGACTTGAAATCAAGTTACTTAGCCTGGGCAAAGTTAAGACTCATCCTGCATTTTCTGTTTTACTCAGGGTTTGCACTTCTGTTCTCATAGAGCTGATCAGGAATTTCCTAAAAAGTAACAAGGAAAACTGTGCCAAGAAATTCCATGTTTCATATTCTGAGAGATTTTTCTAAGTTTTTCTGTAATTTCTTATTTGCTCCTCCATGAGGGGAAAGAAGGAAGATTTAGCCTTCCAGCTCAGTGTGCCACTATCCATACCTCAATTTTTCCAGAAGTTTTTCAGTGGAGTAGCACATATTTGTTTAATTGAATGGGGCTGGAATGGGCTTGACCAGAGAGACAAAAGCTGGTAGGTTTCTGTGGAGATCTCTGTGTGTGCCTGTGTGTGTTTTTGTGAGGCTGAGGAGTGGCAGGGTGTGCAGGAAGAAGGACGACCGCAAATATTTGACCAGCTGCCTCTCTGCACCCCACATCTGCAGGGTTTAGCTGAGCCCAGCCAATGTAGGCACACCAGGAGAAGTTTTCCCTGTGATGCCCCTTCAGGAGAAAGCTGGGGGCAGGGATACTGTAGGTTTTGCCTCTTCAGGCCACCCCACTTTCCCATATCACAGGAGTGGGGAAACCCTGCCAGGGAAGGTCCCTCCCAGTGGGGACCAGGAAGCAAAAGGTACTACCCCATCTATTTTCTTTCATTCAAATTGATTTAAAAACCTGATGTGTGAACAGAGCTGAATACTTATCAGGCTGTTACTTCCGAGCCAGGTCCTGAAGCCTGGAGTGAATCCTTCCTCAGTCAGGGAGCTTTAACTCAGGAAATATGAATAAAGGCATTCAGACCTAATATAAAAACCAGTAATGAGCAACGGCTTCATTAGCAGGAGATGCACATTTGATGTCCCCTTGGGAGTGTCCTTTGCCGCGCTGGTGTGTGGCCCCAGGAAGCTGCAGGCAGGGACCAGCCTGGGCAGGCCCCACAGGGCTCCTGGAGCCCGCCCCAGCCTGGGCTCCTGCCACCCCGCTGCGGCCAGCAAAGGCCCACACAAACAACAGGTGGCTGGAGGAGCAGTGTGAAGTCATGAGGAGAAAGGCAATCCAGATTACAAATGTCCTGAAATACCCTGAGCTCCTTAGCAGTGAGATTGTGCTGTGCTAGGATTTGGTGCTGGTTCTGTAGCTCACGCTGGCATTTAGCACAAAAGCCCTCAACAGAGTAATGGGCCAGGAGGAATTATTTCATAACATTGTGATAGATATGTACCATAAAACAAAGCAAGTTACTAACCCACCTTTACCCTCTGAAGTCCCTGTAATTAAAAAGAGTTACCCTGGAATGAAGTGATCAACACCGGGGAGAAGATCAAATTCCTTTATGTCACTGTCTGAATTCTGTATATGGAAATTTCATTAAATGTTTTTCAGTCATGATATTATTTTGTGTTTTGCCTACAAATGGTGATGAGTCAGTTCTATCAGGCTGTCAAGCGACTTCAGGAAGCTGGAGGAAAATAAAATGAAAATAAATACTAAGCAATCTCTCACTTTCCCCTGGTATGTACAGGAGTGGCTTTTCTTTCCAGACAGTTATGTGTTTATATTTTCTTCATTCCCCCTCTTTGAAAACAGACACTCTTTGCTGAGATCCGAAAGATCTGACTTCACTCAGTTTATGCCTCATTATATACTGGAGAAAGTCTAGTGTCTGTAGCCCCTTCTATACTCTGTTTGCTGTTTGTCTCTGGGAATGAAAGATGAGGCAGAGAGCCACAGATGAAATCCTGGACCCATTAAAGGCAAGAGGAGTTTTGCCATTGACTTGTCTGGGGTCACAGTTTTGCCCTAAGTTTTTTATTTCCATCTTGTACAATGCCAGGCAGCTGTCAAAGCTGATGCCTAGTTGGTTCATTAGACTGACATGATCAGATTTCAACTTCACCAAACCTAAATTCTTGGCATCTGCATGGAGCTTAGACCAGAGAAATAAGCCTATTTTAACACAAAACGTTCACACTTTCATAAAAGTATGCAAGAGGTTTCTAGTATGAATGCACATCAAGAATGCACCTAACAGTTTTGAAACCAGTTCAGTTTTGCAAAATGATATAAAGAAAGCTGATGGTGCAAATTGTGAGCTCTCAAATCTTACTGCTTCCACAACAGCTCTTCACAATGCAACTACCATGATTTGAATATCATTATCTTGAATTTATACCAAAGAATCATGGAGGTCTTAATCTTTTCTGGGAGCAAACACTAAGAATTTACAAGTAATAAGAAGAGTAATATCTGCACAGGTTTGGAAACAGTGAACATTATGCTAGTACATCTGTGCATCTTGGTTGGACATAGAAATTAATTACCTGGAACTGACTGACAAAGCAAGTACAGCTTTCAGATCCTTTCTTCAGTATAATATACTATTGCACAACATGTTTCAGAGTTTCCATACACTTTGAAATTTCTACTGCAATATCACAGAAAACACAAATCTGACTGAAAATTGTACTGTATGTCTTCCAAACACAAAATAAAGCTTGAAGTAGGTACCTTTGTTTTAGAATTATGCACCTTCAGTGAGGATATTGTCAATCTAGTGAGTATTGCCCTCTTCAGAGGATAACAGAGATTTGGCTACTCTGATACCTTTGCAACAAAAACTCCAACATGCAGAAATTATAAGAGAAAAAAAATCCCTACAACCTGAAAATTTAAAGCAGCATTTTAGTTTAGCTTTTTAATCTACCTCCTGCTTTTTCTCTCAGAACCAACAAAATAAAACCAGACATTCCCCAGCATGGCTGACAGAGCAATTCAGAGAAAAGGCTGAATTTTGCAGGATGTATCACTACAGGAGTTTGTAATAAAGCTGCAAACCTCAGAAAAGGTGAGATGAAACTTTTCACAACATTGTCAGCCTTGATGCAGCCACAGCACATGATCCTGTGTTAGGCAAAGCTACTGACAGTGGTGGGTGGGGGCTTGGGCTGGAAAAGGTCTGCGGGGTTTGGGCATTCTGCCAAAAAATCCGCATAATGCTGAGGCTAAAAGCCTGAATGTGTTCACATTTACCCTCATATTAAGCATGAGTAATTACCTTCCAATGAGTGGAGTTACATGCATGTAAAGCTAATGCAACAGGGAAGACTGTCCATATGATGGGAAAGGCTGCTTGTATAGAATAATAAACCCCCACTGAACATTCCCGTATTTTTAGAACTGAACTTGGGCTGAACCTCTCTCAAAGTCACAACACTTTCCGGTAACTTATGTCCAGGCCTTCTGCATTTTTGGCTCCTGGCCTAGATAAGGACTTAAAGCACAAATAATCAGCTTAAGGGCTGTTTCCCCACTTGAATCGGAGAGGAAGTAGGGGAATCTCACCAAGCTGCCTTTTTTCAGATGACTTCCAGCCCTATTTCCAGACCTGTGGGGTCTGTCAGAAAACCCTGTAGTGGAGTCCATCCTACTTTGGACTTTTTCCCACCTGCTGCCACATTTGCTGAGTCCCCAGAAATACCCTGTGGGGTAGAGGTCTGCCTGGTGGCTCTCTTGCTGTATAGACCATGGGTCAGGTCTCGAGGAATGCAGACATCTGACATGACTTCAGTGAAATTCTCTGCTTGGCGTGCATCCTGTCACACATCACTGAGATCTCAATCTGAGTTTCTTTAGAGGAAATAAAAACATATAGTTGTGTGCTGTTCTCAGCCAAATACCAGCTACAAGAGCTTTGAATAATTGTCCCCAGACTTCTGTACTGTCTTCTTCCTCTGTGCCAAGAATTTTTAATTCTTTCCCCTATCTGCCTTCCCAGATTGAAAATTGTGCCTTATTTGTTTTAATTTTGGTGTTTTTTAAACTTTTAGTTTTGTTGGTGGAAGCAGAGTTTCGTTAAAAATGAATGAGATGCATGTTCATACAGGAAGCCAGCCTAGGTAGCGCAGAAAGGAAAAGCAGCCAAGGTCACTTGGAAGTCCTGAATGTGTCTCCTTGATCCTGGCCACAAAATCCTGGTCTGGGTCACCTCTTCTGCTCTGCCAACCCGCACACGTGTGAAGAGCTATTCAACACTTTGGCCCTGCAGTTTCTGTTGGATAAGACCCATTGGTTTCTTGATTAATGTTTACTCCATAACTTCCATTTGCCTCCTACCTGCCCGCCTACATTTTCCTTCCAAAACTGTTTGCTGAGCACACTGCTGGCCCACATGTCCAGAACGCAGCTGTGAGCCCAGGCCAATGCAATTATCCCTGCACGTATTTCAGGATATGTTCATTATCACTGCTCTGCACAGATCATACTCCATGAGAACCAGCTGATTTCAGAGCACTAACTAAGGCGTGATACAAGTGTCTCTGAATGGGGACAACTGCTGGGTGAATTCTTTTGCTGATTAATAAATTGACTTTCAGGAGGGGCACTATTTTTCATTCAACTAATACTTTTTACCCACTCCTGAAACATAAAGAAAGTTCAAAGAGATCTTTTAAAAAAGACTAAAAACCTCACTTGTTTTCCTTAAAAATCAAAATCTTTGTTATCAACTAGACCAAATTTAAAAAGAAAAAAAATAAAAGGCATTAAAACTAAAGCTCATATCTTCAGAAAAAAATTAAATTTAATTTAAAATGAAAAATGGCGTTTCTCTCCTCTCCTCCACTTTACTCCATTCTCCAAATTTGCTTTTAAAATTTAGTCCAGATATTTTTTTTCTTCAGCACTTGGTTTTAAAATGTTGATCCATCAGAGGTTTTTTTTTGTTTGTTTGTTTGAAGTTGTTCTAAAATTGCCTTCTTTTTCTTGAATTTGTCCACCAAAATAAATGTAATTGTTATAAATTGCTAGGATATGTTCAGTGATATAACACATTTGCTTAAACATATAAAATGATAAGTTAGATTCACAGAAAATATATATGTTTTTTTCTTTGTGTAGCTCTCTTTTTTTCAT